GCACGTTGTTCCAATGAAATCCCTGAACTTCATCTTGTAAAATGAAGGAATAATTCTCAGAATAATCTAGAATTGTTAAAAATTCCCCATCTATTAAATTTTTCTACATTTGTCATCAATTTCACATTCTGATGAATGGCGCAGACACAAACAGTGTGTGTGCCACTAGCTCCAACTAAAATACAGTTTTTTGGTCTAAGTTCGGCAAATTTAGAGAATCCAATTGATATATTTGGGTATTCTTCCTTAAACATCTTGAATATTTATTTAAGCTTATTTAATATAAGTCTTTGGACTGATTCTTTCTCGCCTTTAACAGATACACAATCTTTTATTCCAGGCATGAGTCGGCTTATTTCATCAGAACTATAATTTTGTTTATTTTTATTACTTAAAAAATTTTTCAAAATCTTCGAAATTTTCTTTATCTCTGGTTATTTTAATAATTTAAGATAATGACAATTTCATAACATTCTTGATCTTGATGGGTATGACTTAGTCAGGGGGGGGGGTATGCCTGATAATTAATGTGATTTTCGATTTTTCCCTTAATAATTTTCCTGCACTCCTTTAATCCTGCCTTTTTGCTCGTATGCTAGTCGGATTTTTTAATTATTTTTAATTTACATTGAAATATTAAAAAAATTATTAAATTTTTTTATCCTGCGAATATCTCAGGGGAATAAGGTATAATCCAATTTTATGATATATTATACATTAAAATATTTTTAATCAATAAAAAAATGAATTTAACATATTAAAACTATTATAAATAGCGCCATCTATTTTTTTAAAAGTATAAAAATCGCAATATTTTTTTAAATAAATATCCAGCCATGCTAATTGTTGAAGAAATTATTAGAAAAATAGTAAACGGATAATATTTCTTAAAAAAATTAAAAATCGGAGATCATATACATTTCGAAATATTAATTTCAAGTTTTCAACTGACCATAAGATGACCCATATTTTATCAAAAATTAATTTTGATGTTTTCGCCATAATCATCAATTATTAACTTAGCTATTGATATTATATTCAATATTTGATCATATTTAGTTTTAAATTAAAAACTAATTATTTGACATCAGTAAAAAGCAAAAAAAGACGTTTTTTGGACCTTTAACCCCGATTATCTCCGCTAATATAGTTGCTAATGCGCTAAAATTTTGTTTATAATCTAATGGGAACATATATAACCAGTCTACAACTTTTTATCGAAATTGAAAGGGGTCGGCCGAAAATCTTGATTTTTTTGCTCATTTGACATGGAATAACCCTATTGGGCTGCTTCAAATTTAATATATTTTTCAAATTTTTTTTTAATGGCTTCACCTCAATCCCATTTATTTGATGGCCTAAATATTCGACCTCCATTACACCCAAAAGGCTTTTCTCTTTGCTGGCTCTCAAGCCTTTATCATGAATTCTTTTAAAAACTTCCTCCAGACGATGGTTATGCTGCTCAGGCGTTATCCCTGTAATTAGCACATCATCCATGTAATAAAATACACCCTCTAATCCTTGAAAAACGGACGCCATGGTTCGCTGAAAAATAGGCGCTGACACACTCAACCCAAATGGTAATCTACAAAAAGCGAACAGCCCTTTGGGAGTCGTGATCGTCAATAATTTACGAATCTCCTCCCTCAAAGGTAATTGTAAATAGGCTGACGAAAAATCAACCTTTGAAAAATATTTCGCTCCCTTCAACTGGGCCAAAATTTCCTCAATTCGGGGTAAAGGATATTTAACCTCTACTACCCATCGATTAACGGTTACTCTGAAATCAGCACAGAGTCTCAATTTACCATTTGATTTCTTAACCGGTTCCAACGGGGTTGCCCATACACTATATTCCACTGGAACAATGATACCATCTTTAACCCATTGATCCAATTCTTCGTCAATTTCCTTTTTCCATTCAAAAGGGACTCGACGACACGCTAGGAAAATAGGTGCAAATCCTTCCCTTAATTTTATATCTACTTGATAATCATTAAGACAACCTAATTTGTCTTCGAAAATTATTTCATACTTCTTCATTAAACGAGATATATTTTCACTCATTTTATGTAATTCAGGAATACCAATAGCCACCACTGGGGTTTTATCAATGCTAATGTTGTTTTCAACCATTAATTCCGTGGACTTTACATACCTATCAGAATTATGGGTTGAATCATTTTGTTTTATGGTTAAATCCTTCCCTTCTATTTCACAGATATTTTTTCGAGCGTTATAAGCAATATTTTGGTCTTTCTGGTTAATTATGGCCGAACCATTATGTAGGGCAAAAATATTCCAATAATTACTGAAAGGACCTAACTGAACAATCCAATCCCACCCCATGATGGTTTCCACATCTTTCTTTACTACCCATAAATCTAGGAAAAATGTGGTATCATGAAGAATTACGCCCAATTTAGTTTTTCCCAAAACTATTATCTCAGACCCATCAAATTGTCTGACACACATAGATTCTTTCTCAAGCTTACCTTTAGGCCAATACTTAAAATGATTTCTTCGAGACATTATAGAAATGCTAGCCCCTGTGTCGAACAACATGTCAATATCCCTCGAGTCAACTCTTACGATAACTCTTGGACTAGGACGAGGTTCGACTAATCTCTCAGTCATTAAAGTATCATATGTTTTAATTGACTGATCAATATTAATCTCATTTGAAACATCAGTTTCATGAGAATTCCCATTTGAACATAAATTCAACTCGGAATTTAGTGGTTCCTTAACCATATTCATATTCTTCTTTGCAATATAACTGGGATATTTTTCCCATCTGAAAGCATTAACATTCCTGTCATTGGAATATTTGACAATACCCCTAGGATATTTATCCCATTTAAAATCATTAGAATCTTTATTATTTTTATCATCATGAATAAAAAAATTTCGGTTATAATCATGGTTATTTACTTTATTATCATTTTTCCATCCCGATCTCCTACCTACTATATGATTACATTTGCAATCATATAGTCAATTTTTGATACAGTTTATGGCTACATGTCCCGGTTTGTTACATTTAAAACACAAACGGGATTTGCCATAATTCGGTCGTAAAACATCAAATTTAATCGTGTTAGTACCAGAAATTTTTCTAACATTAGAATTTTCTAATGCCAGTTTCCTTAACGGAAAACCTTCACGAAAATTTTGTTCTTTGACTACGCAGGTCTCTACCTTGTGACCAACATACCCACAGCGGGTACATTTCAAATCTTCTAAAATTTTCTTATGACCTGAAAAGCCATTTTTTTCCATGAAAATATTTTTTTCATTTGTCCATGTCGGCCCACGTATTTGTCCTTTATTAATATTACTATTCGTAATCACCAACGTATTTATATCTTGATATATAATCTTAATCACTTCTTTTAATTCTTTCAATTCCTGGAGGATAACTATAGATCTCTCCACACTATCCAAACGGTCATCGTTATTATCTTTCATCGTTTCCACCTTTTCAGGTCTGCCGTTCTTGATTTCATTTAAAATTCCATTTAAACTACTTTCCAAGACCGCAATCTTTTTCCAACAATCAGCCGACACCGGAGTGTCTAATTTCCAACTACCATATACCTTGGTCGCAACCAGCGTACATTTTCCAAACAAAAATTTTATCATAATATGTAACACATACAGTAGGACCAACAATAAAATTGTCACTACGGCATTATTTACATCAAATTTATCAACCATTTGATACACACTTTGATAAGTAATACTCGGATACTCCGAAATTTTATCAAATACGCTAGGCTCAATATCAAAATTAAATATAAAGCCCATCTCATTATATGAAAAATTTATATTACTTTAAAACGGCCGTGTTAAATTTCTAAAAATTTACACAAAAAGGTGATTGCGTTGTGTTCTGAGGCAAGATACAAAATATAAAATAAAATATTTTCTTTTACCTTGAAATACCGAATAACCCTGGAATCGAAACAATCCTGGTGGTCTCGGTCACCAATGACAAAAAACACAAAAGGAAACAAGAGGGGTTCAAATGTTAATTATATCAGAAAAATTACTAAAACAAATTCTAATATAAGAACCAACTCAGAATGAAAACTATCAATTAATGAACTAAATTAAAACTTATAAATTAAATGCCACGCGAACTAATTTTTGGATTTATATCTTTATTAAATAAAAATATTCATCAATTTACAAGGGTCAAAAATTAAAATCGCAAAAATATTATAAAAGGTTTTATTCAATAAAAAAAAAGGTTATCAAAAATTGAAAAGTCACAAAAATCAAAAATTAATAAAATTTTAAAAGTGATAAAAATTAAAAGTAATTTACTTTTTTTTACAAAAATATGATATCTATTAATTTCTAATATTTGAAAAAAAATGACTGACATTTTTCTAACTAAATACAAAACATAGATAAAAATATGATTGACATTATCCGATAAATGTATTATTTATGACACTAACAATGTTAATTTTTTATTTTTATCGGAAATAAGAAAACACTTCAATTTTTTTATTTTTTTTTATATTTCCCAACGTAAGATTTTAAGGGCTATAATATGATATATAATTTGTAACACTTAACAAGATTTAATTAAATCAGGCACTTCGCGATTTTCGACTTTGAAGGCGTATATCTTTGGATCTGGTTGAGCTAGCACTCTAAAATTTTGATTTTATTAACATTTACAACATAAATAACTAACATGCCAAGTTTCATTCATTTTTGAGATGGTCGGCCGAAAATCTGGTTTTTTGGTCGATTTGACGTGGAATCACCCCATGTTGATTTAATAATTTTTATAAGAGACCTTCAGTCCCAGTCCTAAGCCCAGCATGATCCGGGTACACGGACTGGGCCGTGTTTTAATTTTTTAAAATATACTCAGGCCGGGTCTGAAAATTTAAAAAAAAAATACCTGGGCCGGGTCGTGCAAATGGTACCTATGCAGGCCTTTTATTTTTATTATATCAATATATTATTATTTTAAGACGATTATTACAATGAAGATGACGATGATGATTCTGAATACTGGCAACCGGGAAGTATTAGGGAAAATGAGATCGAAGACAACAGCAGCAGGCTTGAAAGTTACCATTCGAAGTTAGAGATGTAAAGGTAGGGAAATTTCCCGGGAAATAACAGGAAATTTCCCTGGAATATTCCCCGGGAACATTCATATTTTCCTGGGAAATTTCCCGAATTTTCCCTTAATATAAATATATTATTTATTTGCAAAATTATGATTTATATTTTATAAAATATAATATTTTATTTCAATAATTATGATGTATAATTTAATTTATAAATAATTTTTATTTTCCTCGTGAGTCTTAAAACTTATTTTTTTTTATTAGTGCAATCATTGAGTGCAATTTTTCATATCTATAATTTTAAAATACAAAAATAAAGGTAAAATGTTTCACATTATATTCTCATACATAATATTAATGTGATATATTATAGAATTATTAATAATTAATGATATATTTAGATTTGATATATAATAGTGCTCACAAATTGAGCGTTTGCAGTATGTTTGTTAATGTAACGCATCTTTGTTTAGATTGAAAGCAGTATGTTTTTTATTAAAGTTTTTTTTATAATTTCTTAAACAAAAAGAGTTTATTTCTTACCTTAAGGTAAAATAAGGAAGTTTAATTATATTTGTTTATTTAGATTTCCTAAGAATTTACGATTCAATCAGGGTTTTCAAGTTTTTTTGTGGCCTTGGATGCAAAACATTTGTATATAAATGTTTCTTTGTTTATCCTACCTTAATTTATATATTTATAATAATCTATATATTTTAATAAAAATGTGAAATAAATTTTGAATAGTTTGCATATATATATATTTTATATTTTTTTCAAGACACTAGATATAAAAATAAATAGATTTAGAAATATTGCTAATCAAATTTCAAATTTATGATATAATTTGATTAAATCTATCTAATAATTGATAAATAAATTTTGAATAGTTGCTTATTTATATATATTTTACAAAATAATTTTAATTACATTTTTCAATCTTTAATTATGAAAATGTACACCATAATAAGAGTATTAAATGTCTTATTTAATAAAATAATTTTAATTATATTTTTCAAAAATGGACACTACAATATGGAATAATATAACTTTATTATATATAAATAAATAGAATTACAAAAAAAAACAAATCAATTTTCATAGATATAATTTCATTAAATAATGAGGTTTGATTTGCAAGTATATCTGTTGAATTTGGAGGCCACAATTCAATTTTCCATTAAAGTATAATACAATGGAGATACTTCATTTTTGAAAAAATATTTGTTTGATTTATATTTTATAGAGAAACATTCTATAATAATGTTAAATTTATAGATAAATATATATTTTACTGGCTATCAAGGCACTCTTTCCAAAAGAGTCAATATATCCAACAATGCATTTAATTTTAACTCACTTGCCTTCCTTTGGTATAATTTCTTTAGGAAAACTATCCTCTATTGTTGGCTCCATGAATTTAATGTAATCATACCATCTTTATGAGAGTTTAGAGCCGGAAGCTCCTGAAACCTTGCACAATTATCTTGGTCTTTAGAGTTTTGCAACTTCTTCTTTATGCATGCTAGAGTTGTATCATGCAATGGAAATTCCATCCCCAAGCTATTAAAAATATAATTTATCATTATTTATATATATTTACCTTAAACTACTGGTTAATAAACCATCTAATACTAATATAGGATTCTTATGGTCTGGACGCTGCTGGCTCCAGACCATTTGTTGAGTTTCCAGTAAGGTACAAAATTTTTTAGTAACCTTATCATCCCTTCTAAAATTATAATATGTATATCCTAAAATAAAATAAATAAAATGAAAATTATTAGTAATACTAAAACAAGAAATAGAAGATATTGTTTAAACCCAGTATAATTTTTAAACTAATAACAATATTTTGTAAATCTTGGGTTTTTTATGTTGGTTCCCCCCTAATATTTTAATTTCATGATTAAGCTTTTCAAAATATTATAAAAGAATACTTCTTTTAATGGTTATTTTATAATACCCATGATTCAATATTCTATTATTAAAGTAGTTTAAAATAAAGATATATTAATTTATCTTTTTACCTTCATAAGCTTTTTTAAGTTTGAACTGCTGGACTTTGATGTTGAAATATTTGCGTTGGGACATAATTTACATTTACAAAGTGTAGTCTTTGTACCCTTAATTTTCTTTATTAGTGTAAAATATGTTTTAAATTGGGGCCAGGGAAGGGTTAAATCATCTTGAAGTAAATACTATGGCATAATATTCTTAAAATAAATTATAAAATAGAATAATAATATAATTATCATTTACTTTGAATTTTGATTGAATATTAATTAGATTAACATTTTACTGAAAATTTAGATTAACATTTTACTGAAAATTTAACAACGAAAATTTAAAATAAAAATGAAGAATGGTGGTTGATATGAATTAAAAACTTCGTTTAAATTATTTATATTAAAAAAGAAATAAAAGATAATAAAATATGTTTTTCTTTTTAAAATATTTTTTAATAAAAAATTTGAAGTAACGTTTTGCATTACCATTACTCGTTACCTCTAGAAGAAAGTAACGAATTGCTCTTCAAAAAATTACTTTACAGCACTAATAAATACTATATTGTGAAGTAGTGCACATGTCTATGATATTTTCACTATTGTAAATATTTGTATCTAAGTGAGTTTGGGTATTATGTACAAGAATATAATAAAAAGCCTTACTGATTATTAAGAAATGTAGAAAATAAAAGCAAATTCCCCTTCTTTAGCTTATCTACTATTTAGATTATTTTTTTTCAAATAATTATATAAAAATAATAATTTAAGCTTAAAATAGACATAATGTAGTAATAAAATCGTACACGATTTTTATGTACTGTGAATGCAATTACGCATGCAATAACACAGAGATATTATTCGTTGCAGCGATGATTACTATGAATGTAGCGTAAGGTATGAATTCCATTAAAATGAAGATTATATCGTTCAGGCAGTATTTGCTGAAAATTATGTTATTTTGGTTCAAGATAAAGTATTAGGGCACTGGAATAAAGCGCAAGTTACCATTCATTCTTTTGTGATTTATTACAAGACACCTGTTATATATTAGTTCTAAGTAGGGTTGTCAAATAAAAATTAATTTAATTTAAATATTCTATTTACAAAATTTGATCAAAATAATTTATAACGAGGAAGGATAAAAACTTAGTATTTTAGAATTAAATAATTTTTATATGAAAAATACTAAATTATATTGAAATTGGTCAATTGGCCGAATACTCTAAAATGTTATTGTTGAATAAATATATTGATTTAATTAACTAGTATATATTTTAAATATCAATGCAATTAGATTACAATTTATTTAAAATATATTTGTATCATCAAGGCATTGATTTTATTATAATTATATTATAATATAAGATTTTCATATTGAAATATTAGAATATTTTTAAATATATAAAAAAAAAAATTTTCTCATTATTAATTTGATTGCATCTGATATATAAATAAACATATTAATTTTGCTAAAGCATGGTTTTAAAAAATTACTAATTGCCAAATTATACTACATTATATACAATTATACAAATAAAATGGGCTTCATGGTTGTTGAAGAAGTTGGATATTTGTCTGAAAGAAATTACCAATAATATATTAAATGAAGAAATTAAAGATATTTTTGAAAAAGAGAAAACAATCTAAATACATGTGCTCACACTGTTGATTATATACTGGATCTATCCAATATTAAGGGGGCATCTTCAGTAAAAAAATTTATTATATATAATTTTGTAGGTAAAGAAATTCTCTAATGGGCTAACAAAGAATTATAAATATTGGCGCCATTATAGGCTTTTAACATCCGGTTTACCTAAATTGCTTTACCTGTATTTTTAAGCAAAATTGTGAGTTTGTTTTCGATTTTTTTTATTGCTTTTTATTTAGACACCTTTTCTAAATATATACAATATCAAAACCTTGTCGAAGCTATCGATTCCAAAAATTGATAAAAAAATAGATGGCGCTTTATGAAATTACGGATGGTTAAAATTTTGCTGCTAACTTATCAATAACCAGATATTTTTACTTTTTATAATAAAAAATTTTGATTTTCTATTAAATATACTAATTAACTGAGGAGCAGAGTGGGCATATGCCCATTAGACACTTAATAATGTAACAAATTTCCATAATAAATATCTTTCATATAATTTTTTTAATTTTTAAGGTATCTACAATTTCATCGAATTTTTTATCATTTGATTAAGATGATGGTATAATTTTAGTCGTTAAAACTTTTTTTTATTCTAGATATTTTTTTCTTCGAATATTTCTTTTCAAATAAGCGTTTTCTTCTAATGAGAGATTCCCCATTTGATTGTAGGGATATATTAATGTCAATAGCCTCTTGATTAATTATATGAAGGGGAGAATCAATATCTACATTGTCATTTGAAGTATAAGGATGTTTGCTAATTTTTGTCGCCATGAAGAGCATATTAAATGGTAAATTTTTTTGGGTCATCTAGGGTAGAATCTTTCTTAGATTCTGCGATAATAAGCATGTCTCTGTAGATTAAATAGGTTGCAACATTTTAATATTTGTAACGTCCATCTTTGATATAGAATAAAATTTTAATTGATCTACACCTAGAATACATGTTTTTGCACTCTCCAAATCCAGATTGTTATTGGTAGACAGACGATAAAATTAATCTGAACGGACAGGTTAAAATTATTTCGCAGAAAGAGAGATCGTTTTAAACAATTTATTTTGTAAAATATAATCGAATATATGCCTAATAAAACATTCTTTTTTCAGCTGTTATATATTATCGAGCTAATAAGTCATTCGCTCGCTATAGTAGCAAAGTAGAGATCTAAAATATCTAAAACATTTTATCCATAGTGGGAGGGAGGGGGGAGGGCAGAACTGGAAAATTTTATCACAATTTTTATTCGTATATATATTTATAAAAGGTGTCTAAATAAAAAGCAAAAAAAAATTCGAAAACAAACTCACTATTTTGCTTAAAAATACAGGTAAAGTAATTTA